TGATTGGTGGTCACTTTGAGTTTTGAAGGATGTTTTCGGTAATTCAAGTCCAGATGGAAAGCCTTCCCAGATTATTAACTTATTTATGCTTTTTGTAATTTTTCTTGTTTATCAAAACATTGTTTGCATGTAAGAACTTGTTTGCATCTGAATGATTATCTTAATACAATGAGTATGTTTGTCTTGAAGAAATTCATTCGTTTCACTCATATTTGTTTTCAAATTTTAAATTGCTTTTGCACTATGATACCAAATTGTTGCTCATTCTCTTTCCTAGGCAGAGATTGAGGGGAGGATGATGATCTAAAGAACACAAAATCTCGGGTTGTTTGCTTTTGGATAAAATCTTGCTGATGATGTACAGGCATTGTTTCAAATCCCTAAACACCGGAGATATAAGGAAGATAATCCCTTGCTAACCCCTTTTGAGCCTTTGAAGCAGAAGTTTCTTTTCTATACGAAAAAACCTTGAATTTTAACCTGGGGCAGGGTAGTTTTTAGTTAATCTGACTGAGTGTTCAAAATTCATAAGGAAGATGTTTTTTGAAGAGAAACTACGAGGGCTATCTTTCGTGTATAATGAATCTAGAGGATGTGGAACCACAATGTTATCCCTCATTCATCAAGAAACGAGGCAATCACAATCCTCTCAACAAGCAAAGACAAGCTAATGTCACACATTTTGTTCAAAAAGTCAAAAATCGAGAAAAAGAAAAAGCCTGCTAAGTCAAAAAAAATGAAAACGTGTGACTTAGGCAAAATTAAGGCATCCCGTTGGACTATCAATTCAAAATAATTAGTTCAGGCAAAAGTTAGGGAAAATAAAAATTGCAAGGAAAAGGACTGCAAAGAAAAGTCCTCAGCAAAGAACAAATTGGTGACTACAAACACGAAGACATGAGGTTGGTTTCTACTCCGAAAGCCTCGTCGTTTCCTTGACCGTCACAAAATCCTTTTGAGAGATGAACACTCATGTTGAATTAACTGAACATGGGGTTGGAGAACATCATGAAGAATGGGTGGGCACCAAATATTTTGAGCCTTAAAATCTTTTTTCTAAAAACCATGAACCAGACCACGTTACAACCTTCAAAAGTCCTAATTGAAGCAAGGTTATTTTGAAAGCATACTTCAATGAGATAGTGTTCCTGACTCCCATGAATGTTCTAAATAGTTATGTTGGTATCATAGGTTCTTCCTATACAAAAATAAATGGTGCTTTAACTCGCAAAATTTGTGCGATATCTTTCAAAATCTTCAAGACTTACATAACTGTTGCATTAGAATTTTCATTCTCATTGTAAACTCTTTCTAACTGCAAAACATTTGTTTGATATCAAGGAAGCTCACATAAGCACCAGTGATGAGTTTATTCTTTTAAGGCCTGAAACTATGTTGAGTAATTGGCGGATCACGTCAAGAAAAAATCATATCCAGGGGCATGTCACCTAAAGACCTTAAACACGGACATGTTGCTTCTCCCAGTTAATGCTTTCCCAACTTGTTTACTCTTTTGGGGCAAAAATTTGAAGACTTCGTTGTGCCAACTACAGTCAATCCGGGGCAATCACATTGATATTTATTGAATCTCTCTAAGAGTTTAAAGATACCAGAGCATGGTGAATGCCAGGTCTTTTGTAAAATCCTCTTGAGACAATTTATCCCCATCAACCATATAGCTTGGGGCATTTTAGAAGTGAAGTTATTCGCAAGAATCGTCGTGCATCATGCAGCTTATCAACGGTAAACTTGGGGCATCCAAAATTAGTCCCAGGGGCAATCTAGGTTTGTCAAGATATGGGATATGTTTTGCACACATTATCAGAGGGTGGTGTTCCCAGTATCTCCAGCTAAGCATGACTTTTTCCTGCTGAAACATTTCTTTGTGTTGTTATCCTTTCAATGGATTGTTGACATTAGAAGATTGGACTTTGGGTTTTCTATGAAAAATATCTTCCTCTCCAAAGAGCTTTAAGCCTTGTAAAAGGACTTTACTCCAATGATGACTTTTGATCTATCTCTAGTAATGTTCCCATCCTATTGAGATTAGCTGAGTGTCGAGTTGTACTGTGATGTCTTATCATCTCCAGTTTATCCTCTATCTGTTTTGTCAGCATACACATGACATTCATTTATTCATTCACACTTGCATCATGCACGCGCATTTGTATTTGTTGATGTCATTGAGTTCGTATACCCTGGTTATATCTAGTCAAATAGTGTTTTTGCTCCTTCCAAATAGAGGTCAACTTAAGCAGAAAGTGCGCCTCCTTTCTAATTCCCCACTGAGTTAACTCTCGTGGAAGAATCTTGGTTTAGCTTTCCTTTTCCATCTCTGGATAGGATAAATCCCCATTTGAGTTGTTTCCTCATTGGGTGGAGTCTTGTTTGACTGTTTTCTCCCCAGTTTATCCCTGGATTGAGCTTTGTCTCTTGTGAACGATACCCTGTGGATCTCTCTAGGCTGTGAAACCTAGATGGAGAGTGCATTTATTTAGCAACGTAAATACTTGGTCTCCTCAAGAAGGATTTATTCATGGTTCCCCATTGAAGATGAACTTTATTCCCCAGTAGTGTTATCATAACCTTCTTCTGGAATATTGACATGACAACAAGCGACTGACTCCTTATTTGAGCAGTTTGATTATTTCTGAATTTCCTTATGTTATGACAAATGGCGGTCTCTTCATGAGCAGTTTGTCCATCCCCGATGAAATTATTGATTTTCACCTCCAACAATATCTTCATGATATTTTATGGGTATCTTTGAGAAAACAGCAAGCGGCAGTCTCTCCATGGACAACTTGTATGTTATCAACATCTTTTCAAAACAGCAAGCGACAGTCTCTTCATGAGGCAACTTGTATGATATTGACACCTTTGAAAACATCAAGTGGCGGTCTCTTCATGAGCAGCTTGTATGGAAAACGGCAAGTGGCAGCTTCTTCATGAGCAGCTTGTACGTTAGTATTTTTGGAAGACAATAAGTGGCAGCTTCTTTATGAGCAGCTTGTGGATTTTTGGCAACAAGTGGCGGACTCTTCATGAGCAGCTTGTGTGCTTTAATATTCTTTGAAGACAGCAAGTGGAGGTCTCTCCATGAGCAGCTTGTATGTTATTGACACCTTTGAAAGGAAGCAAGTGGAGGCCTCTTTATTTGAGCAGCTTGTGTATCCCCAACAATAATGTCTACTCAGCAAATGGCATCCCTTCGGAAAAGTCCCGCGGGGAAATTTGTTATTTTATCCTTTTCAAGCGACATCTTGGTTAGAGAAGAAATGTGTTACCGTTCTTGGTGAAATTCAGAAATCAGAGATGTTATCTCCAGCCACAGTGCTGATGTCAATCATTTTGTTTTCCAGCCACAGTGCTGATTTCAATCATTTTCCAGTCTCAGTACTGATGTCCAACATTTCCTTTTCCAGTCACAGTGCTGATATAAATCATTTCTTTTTCCAGTCTTCGTACTGATGTAAATCATCTCTTTTCCAGTCTCAACACTGATGTAAATCATTCAAGAGTCTCTCGTTTGAAGTATATGACTCTGTTTCCCCAGTGGAGTTACAACCTCTTCTTCTGTGGGATTATTGTATAATGTGCTTGGTTTCTCCAGCATAGTCTGTCTCGTATGGCGTCATTCCCCATAAAATTCAGAGCATTACATTCATATCATATCATGAACATAATCGCGGTATCTTAAGGCCAAAAATTGTGTATTCTATATTTAAGTCCCTTCAATCTCGTCGAAATGAAGATCCCAATCTTCATATCTCCAGATAGAAGAAACTTAAATAGGGGCAGCTGTTGTACCCCAATTTTTGACCTAAGATCCCATTTTTATTTTTTGCATTTTTTAAGATAAGTCAAGGTCACGAAATACGGTCGGTTTTAATGTCTCACCTTCGAGCTTTGACTATGTGAAGATTGTCAAGTTGTTTTGAACATTTTTAGCATATGTATCACTAATTTCTAATCGCATACAAAGGTGTATGTTCATGTTTTCTTTTGTGTCATGTGCAGAGACAGGTCTGAATCAAGAGCATCAGGTGTCGCACCTCAATTAAGGTTTTGAGTCTCCCAAGCCAAAATTACGGTTGATTATGGACTCTCGAAGACTGATTCATTAAGGCACAACTGTCGCCCCCCATTTTTCGCCCCTTCACTTTTTCGACTGGTGCATATTTTGTCGTTAATTTGAAAAGTCGATCATTTCGCATACTTTCTTGTTTTTATTCATCATTTTAATTTCTATTTAAAAAAAAAGAATTAAAATAGTTTATCATTTGCATTTTCTATCATATTTCTAATGAAATTTTTTAGTTAAAAAATCTGTCTTATTATTATTTTTTTATTATTTTTATCTATTTCTATTTCTTTTAGGTATTACTAACTATTTTCTCTTTTTCTCATTATTGTTATTATTAGTAGTATCTTTATTGCATTTTATTATTTCATCTTTTATTGTTACTAATTATTTTTATTTTGTTCTCATTACTGTTATTATCATTGTTGCATTTTATTATTTTATTTTATTTATTGTTACTAATACCTTTTTTTTCTTCTTTTATTATTGTTACTATTATGTTATTATTTGTTTGTTTTTGTCAAAAATAGAGGAAGAAAATCACAAGTTACCACAACAATTTTACACAAGTGTTTGTACAAGAAAACAAAAATCTACACCCAAAGAAGAATTTACATGAAAGTGACCATAACAAATCTGCATCAAAAATCCAAAAAAAAGATAACCATATTAGTCCAAACTCACTGGAATTTCCCCCCCAAAACTCCCTCCAATTTCATCTCCCATCTTTTATAAAACAATAGGAGGGCAGTAGAGAAAAAGGGGGGAGAAAATTAACAAACAAAATACACACAACACAAAAGCAACACAGTAATCTTCTCTCCCTCTTCTCTCTTCCTCACACAATAAAAAAGCAAAAAGCCAATCTCCCTTCTCTTTGCGCATAATCCCCAATTACCCTTCATCCTCCATCCGTATGCAAACCCATTCCGCGAATTCAATACAAAAAACCCACAAACCCAATCTGCCAGTTACCAATTCCGCAAGCTGCAAACCACTTCCTCTCTCCGACACAGCATCACACAAACTCTCATCAACATACTACCTTCTGTCCCCACTGCCGTTTCTCACGGCCTTTGGCTCAACATACCTGATTATGATGCTCCAACACAGCTTGTCAAGCCCCATGAGAGGAACACTAGGTTTGTTGATGCTGTTATGACCATTCCCAAAGGAACTCTGTTTCCCATGTGCGGTATGAATCTGGCATTCAACCGGGAACTGATTGGACCTGCAATGTACTTTGGACTTATGGGCGATGGTCAGCCTATTGGACGTTATGACGATATGTGGGCTGGCTGGTGCATAAAGGTTATTTGTGACCACTTGGGATATGGAGTGAAAACTGGACTGCCATACATATGGCACAGCAAAGTAAGCAACCCATTTGTTAATCTGAAAAAGGAGTACAAAGGTCTTCTGGCAAGAAGAGATCATTCCATTTTTCCAAGCTGCAACCCTTTCAAAAGATTGCACCTCTGTTCAGAAATGCTACATTGAACTCTCCAAGCAAGTCAAGGAGAAACTTGGAACTATTGATCCCTATTTCGTCAAACTTGCTGACGCCATGGTCACTTGGGTTGAAGCTTGGGATGAGATTAATAACACCGTCTCTGAAGAGACAACTTCAACCAAAGCTTCTGAGCTTGCTGCTACCAAGTGAAACAACTTATAGTTGATGAGGAAAAGAGCACTTCAGAAATATATGCTATGAAGATTATGCGGAAGGATAAGACTATGGAGAAAAACCATGCTGAATAACATACCTCAATAATCTTCGGAGAAAATCACTTCTGAAATGGAAGACGCTCCCTCTCTCGAACTCGAAATCCTCAACGGTCCTCGCAAAGGTGAAACCCTCTAATTCAAACCCGGTTTCACCGTCAAAATCGGCCGTGTCGTTCGCGGCAACAATCTTTCCATCAAGGATCCAGTGATGGATCCGTTGTTAAGATCGGTGAGGTTACTTCCATTGCTGTTAACTTCATTAAACCCCAGAACAACGCTCCAGTTAGTACCGAAGTAGAAGGGAAACCAATGCGAGGGTTATTCGGAGTACGAGGAGTATGCGGAGTGGAAACAATGTTGTTTCTGATTCTGCTGCTGGGAATTTGGATGTTATTGAAGAAAAGGTGGACGAGCCGAAGAAGAACACGTGTGCCATGCGGAATTTGAAGACTAAGCAGAAGACCGTTAAGTTTAGTGGTTTGTGTATTGAGGATTCGGAAGCTCCAGAAGAGAAAGTGGAAGAGAACATAATAGAGAGATGAACAAGGACTGCGGCGCGAGAGGAAGAAGAGAGAAGCATTTAAGAAGCTGAGGTATTACAACCTCCAACCCTAATCTTCTCACGTGTCAATTTTCTTTTTGTTTTTGTTTTGTTTTATTTAATCATTCTTAGTTTTGTTTTAATTGGAATAAGTATGCTGAAAAATGATGGTTGGGTTTGACTTTGGGACCAAGTAATTCCATTAGGCCCATGCCATTTTTTTTTTTAACACCCTAAAGTTTAGTGTAATAAAAAACACTTCTGGACTCATTTGTGATCGGGCCTTAGTGTCTCACTATTACCTCTCTACACTCCTGATCCAATTTTGCTCCCATGATCTAACCTTCGACCCTTTTTCTTTCGATTTTAGTTGTTTAAGTTAAGAGTTGATGAATTCTTTTATTATTTTAGTTAGGTTTTCTTTATAACTTTAGTTAGTTAGATAATTTTAAATTAACTAGTTTAGCTTTTAAAATAAATTTAGTAAAACTTCTGACTTTTAATAGTATTTTAGCTTAATTAAATTTTTTAGTTATTTCATTTAGTTATCTTTTCTCGCTTGATTTTCTTTGTCTCTCTAAATTAGTCTCTTATTAATTATCTTGTCCTCGTTGTTTCTTATTTGTTTGAATTAATTTCCTCATGATATTCCTTGACTGATGTTGTGATAATTTTGATTTAATTTGTCATTCTTTATTTTAATTAATTTTTGGTTGTTAACTATTTAAATGATTTAAGTGCTATTTTGTTTAAATTCTTTCTGATTATTTGATTTTTATACTTTGTTTGTGCCTAATCCAAAGGAAAGAATTAATGTGTTGACTTCATGTCATCGAGTATCTAATACGATTGTGTGAACCCCTTCATACATTTTTAATTTTGTAAATCTTAAGTTAAATCTCCTCAAAACCTAATTTCAAACATACACTCTTTTAAACCAAAACTTCGACACGAGGTCGTCATATCTTCAAAATCTCATCCATACCCATTTTGACCAAATAAACCATTTTAATCAAACAAACAATTTTAACCGAAAAACAGATATTTCAAAAGGTTCCTGCAGAGTACCGCAGATGCATTGGGTGCTAATACCTTCCTATTGCATAACCAACCCCCGAACTTTCGATCTCTTTTCAAAACGCATTGTATTTTCATTACTTTTAAGTATTATTATACATTGCATATTTCAGGGTTTTATTTCGCTCTTTTCCCTTTTCCTTTGGAAATAATAAAGCGCGGTGGCGACTCTTGCTTTTGTGAGTCAAGTTAATTAATAGCTTGATCTCCGACTTTCACCGCTACACATACTCCGCCATATTGTTGGTGCAATTAAAACATAGTCGGGCGGTGAGTGGAGTATGAGAGCCTTTTGGAGATATGATCACATCGCCAATACCGTTACCCAAAGCGTTTGAGGCTCTATCAAAATGCATAGACCATCGGGATCCTTCCTCAGGTCCTTCATCCGGTCCAGGTATTTCACAATCAGTCACTACCATGATATTCTCGTCTGGGAATTCAAAGTTCATAGACTGGTAATCATCCATTGCCTGGTGTGCCAAATGGTCTGCCAGCACACTTCCCTTGATTGCTTTATGAGTCGTGTACTGGATGTCATACTCGGTCAAGATCATCTGCCATCTTGCTATTCTTCCGGACAAAGCAGGCTTTTCGAAGATGTACTTTATTGGATCCATTTTTGAAATCAACAGAGTAGTGTGAGTCAACATATACTGTCTCAGCCGGCGAGCAGCCCATACCAAAGCGCAACAAGTTTTCTCGAGTAGTGAGTATCGGGTCTCACAGTCGGTAAACTTTTTGCTAAGGTAATAAATAACATGCTCTTTTCGGCCAGACTCGTCATGCTGACCTAGCACACATCCCATTGAATTATCAAGTACTGTCAAGTATAAGATTAGAGGTCTCCCTTCAACTGGTGGCATTAGAATGGGTGGCTCTTGGAGATACTCTTTGATTCTTTCGAAAGCGGCCTGGCATTCATCATTCCAACGTACTACTTGATCTTTCTTCAGTAGCTTGAAGATTGATTCACAAGTAGCGGTTAGGTGCGAGATGAATCGGGCAATGTAGTTCAACCATCCTAGAAAGCCTCTGACTTCTTTCTCTGTCTTGGGAACTGGCATCTCTTGTATGGCTTTCACTTTGGCAGGGTACACTTGAATACCTTTGTCGCTCACGACGAAACCTAGTAGCTTTCCAGATCTCACCCTGAAGGTGCACTTGTTCAGGTTTAACCTCAGCTTGTACAACTTCAACCGGTCAAACAGCTTCCGTAGATGGTCAAGGTGTTCCTCCTCTGTTTGGGACCTTGCAATCATATCGTCAACGTATACTTCGATCTCATGATGGATCATATCATGAAACAGAGCAACCATGGCGCGCTGATACGTTGCCCCAGCATTTTTCAACCCAAAAGGCATGACCTTGTAGCAAAAGGTACCCTATTGAGTAACAAAAGTGGTCTTCTCCATATCCGCAGGAGCCATCTTGATTTGATTATAACCGGAGAAACTGTCCATGAAGGAGAATACCTTATGCTGAGCAGTGTTGTCAACCAGAACATCGATGTGAGGCAGAGGGAAGTCATCCTTAGGGCTCGCCCTGTTAAAATCTCTGTAATCAACACACATTCGGACCTTACCGTCTTTCTTCGGTACCGGAACCACATTGGCAACCCACTGAGGATAAGAAGTGACTGCTAGAAAACCAGCGTCAAATTGTTTCATAACCTCAGCCTTGATTTTCTCGGACATCTCTGGACGCATGCGGCGAGCCTTCTGTTTTACTGGAGGGCATTCTTCCTTGGTAGGCAGGTGATGAACCACAATGTCGGTATCCAAACCAGGCATATCTTCGTAAGACCAGGCAAAGATTTCCACATAGTCATGCAGCATCTGAATCAACCGTTGTTTCACACTAAGCTCCAGATTTGCACCGATCTTGACTTCCTTCCTGTCTGTCTCAGTACCCAGATTTACCGTTTCCACTAGCTCTTCATGTGGCTGAATGGCCCTCTCTTCCTGAAGTAGCAGTCTTGCAAGCTCACCAGGCACTTCGCAATCATCTTCGCCTTCGTCTTCGGCTAAGTTGATCGGATTTTTGAAGTCATAACTGGCAGTAGCAGAGTCGTTACCAGTGAGATCCAGAGTGGATTGGGACCTGTATATGTGAGTGTGTGTAAATAGTTGTTTTGCAATATATAATAAAGAAATACAAGGAGTGCAAGATTTGAAATGCAAAAAACGTCCAATGCTTTTATTAATGATATATGAAAATGACACACAAAAAGCCCTCACAAATGAAGGCACGGTGCCCCGGGTAAGACACCGAGCCATAAAGTTTCACAATATTGTCTGTTACAAATTCAAAACAAAGGAGTTCATTACTGAGGAATAAAAGTAATAGGGACGAAGTCTTTCACCGTCCAGTTGTTTGGTCCACCGTTGGTCGTAGGATAGATCCAGCTGTCGAATTCAGATTCCTCCACGTCATCTTCGATGGCATTTACTCCCGAGTTGCTGATGAACACATGAGGTCTTCCAATCCTTGCACTACGAACGACCTTTTGTGCTTCTACAGTGAAACCCAAACCAAACTTTTCAGTCTTCTGAGTAAAATCAGGAAGTCGGCCCCAGTTTGCACACTCACCCTTCTCAATGACAGCCCGTGCATCCTTTAAGGAAGCCATCTTCAAAGGAGAATCTTTGACCACCGTTTCAGCTGACGCCAGTGTCTGAGGGACCTCTTCAAAGTGCTGGAATGGAGTCTCAATGAATTCCCCATCCATCTCTATGTACCGGAACGAGTTAAGGTGGCTGACCATGTATTCTTCCTCCCCCTAAACTGTCACAATCTTCCCTTTGACCGGGTATTTCAGCTTCTGATGGAGTGTGGAGGTCACAGCTCCAGCTTTATGGATCCATGGACGACCCAGTAAACAAGAATAGGACGGTCGGATGTCCATCACGTAAAATGTAGAGTTGAAGACCTGAGAACCAACTTTGACTGGAATATCAACCTCACCATGCACCATCCTTTTGGACCCGTCAAAGGCCCGGACAACAATGTTACTTGGCTTTAGCTCTAAACCCTCGCAATCCAATCTGTCTAGAGCTTTCTTGGGCAAGACGTTCAAAGAGGAACCAGTGTCAACCAACACATATGCAAGAGTAGTGCCCCTGCATTCAATGGAGACATGCAGGGCATCGTTATGGTTCTTCCCTTTAGCAGTCAGATCAGCGTCGGAGAAACCCGAACCATTATCAGCAGTTAAATTGGCCACACAATCGGTGAACTGATCAACTGATGTCTCTTGTGGCATGTGGGCCGTCTTCAGGAAGGTAATCAGAGCCTTGGCATGGGCCTCTGAACAC